AGCAATTTTTTTTTCTCATGGATAAAAATTGTAGAACAATGTATAATCGCCAGGAAATCAAATAATTCCCAACCTTAACAGTTTCGGAACCATCAACCAACCCAAAAGACAGAAGAATACAAGATTTTAGACATTACACTGGAGACTTGCTATATTTTTCTGAATGTGAAAGGAAGATTGCTCCCGATCAGATAATAGCTATTAGGCAATTCAAACCACGTGACTTTCAAGATGGCGTGGCGGCCAAAAAACAGAAAAAAATATCTAGAATCTGCTCGATTTATTAGTTTAGGTACCTAGTCAACAAATATTTTATTAAATAGTCCAAATCAAAGTTGCAAGCAAAACTCTAAGCAAAATAATTTGAAATACGCATAAAAACACATTCAAAACAAACTTGCTTGGCCGCCACGCCATATTGAATTTCCCTATCTGACAGATGGATTGAATTGCCTAATTTATACAATAAGTTACGAAATGAGTGTCTCTTAGACACGCAACGTGGAAATTGTCGACAACACGTCGAGTGACTAAAAGGAATCGTTTTGTACCGTGTTGTATACAAGATTTTTTCTACTAAAGTTTTAAAATAAATAAAAAAAAAACATAATCTTATTTTACGTGAATCAGAGCCGAACACGCTTAAAAAGTTTTTCACCGCACGGCTCTCCTGCATTTTTTTTCTTCTAGATTTGACATTAACCTACAGAGGGAAACAGCACAAAGTTCTGTTTTGAGTACGAATCCAAACATTCAGTTTATTAGTTCAAGTATTTGCATTTTTAATATTTATAATGAAAAGAGAAAATTCAAAATTGGAAAATAACCACCCTTAACAAACTTTTCTCCATAGGTTTGACTAACAGAATAATTACAAAGCTGGAAAACTTTTAACCGCGAGGTCAAGCAGAGCAGATATAGTACTATCGACCCCATCCACACTGCAGGGTAATCAACAATACATAAGTCCTCTCAGTACAATCAACATTTACATAATCGATCGTATGAATATAAAGAGTAGCAAATGCTTTTACTCTACATCTGTCTCTCTCTGCTGCAATAAAGCTGAATATGTTTAACTCAAAAAACTTGAGCAAAAGCATTTACTTCTCAATTCCATCGGTCTGTCTGTCGGTCTGTTGGCGCTCTAGATCAATAACGGCTTAACCTAGAAGAACAATTTTTGGTAAACACGTTGGACACCTACCTACCGACAAATCTAGTGTAAGGATTTTCGTTCCCAGATATACAGGGTGTCCCAAATGAAATTGGTTATATTAGCAAAAATTTACCGCCATTCTTGGAGTTTACTAAAGATATATTTGTGTGGTTGTCGATTTTTTGTCTGTCGTATATTTTCAGAACTACTTATTTTAGAAGAATCGTTCAAATTTGAAAATTCTCAAGGTCCATCTGTTCTTCAAGATTGGGACCTGAAATTTTGATATTTATGGAAAAAAAGGTGAGATAATTTGCCGAGAGAAGTCATGGGTGAAGGCTTCCACCATTTTTTTAAAATTTGTTAACCTTCTCTAAGTAGATGTCTTCTCCGTTTCACTAGGCATTTAGCATTTGGTATCTCTACTAAGTTTTTCTCCTCTCCTACATATCTGAAACAGTGCTTCCTGACATTGAATAACCTTCTTGTTTCAGCTCATAGGGAACTGAGCGTCCTGTTCCACCAGGGCGTTTTTCTATCTACGACCCTTTGTTTCACAGGTTAGCTGTTCTCATAGGCTGTTAATATTAGAGTGTTTGTTTCGTTCGTGATATACTCTAACTCACCCTCTGTTTCTATTGCATTGGGGTAGTCGGTTACTGTTCGGTTCTGCTTTCAGTGGGTCTTTGTATAGACCCGAGTCAGTTAGTTTTGGGTTCCAATGCTCGAGAAGGCGTGTCTCTGTGACCTCTATATCGAATCCTATAATGTTTATGATCCGACATCGAGATTTCGTTGGAGACATGCCAGTTTTTAATTTGGTTGCTTATGTGTGTGCTTGCCAAGGTTAAGTCTAACACTTCTTGCCGCAAACTGTTTGCAAAAGTGGGTTTGTTACCATTGTTGATAATGTCAAAGTCATTAGAGAACAAATATTCAATAAGATAGGTACTCACCTCTCTTATTGATGTTTGTGCTGCCCCATATGGTGTGTTGGGAGTTGGCATCACAACCGACCGATTATAAGGTGTTTGTTCATCCTTTCGCAGTAGCTGACGAGTCGTTTAACGTCCTCTGGGGGTGGATTTGTCTCGTCGTCTCCAGGAAAGTAAGCTGAGGCAGTCACAACCTCTTGCTTACCCTCTGAAGTTGGTGCCTCTACAGCCCCTGCAGAAACAGACGCCCCGGCCGCCGCAGCAGCACCAGTTTCAGGCACCTTTTTTGGGACTGTCTTTTGGGGTCCTCCTCTCGGCTTTAGCCGAAGCTGGCCGAATCGGTAGGCCACCCCGAAGTTTTCCCTCTTCAGGTTTTCATAAGACCATTGGTCTATGGAAATGGTTAGCTGAGCAGAGGTCCCCTCGGTCACTCTGTTGAGGACTCTCCAGTCTTCAACGCTCAGTCCTTTGTTTTGGCCTTTGAGAAGACCAAGTATTTCCTCGTTGGGGCTATTTGCACTATTGGGAAAGTGTCCCACAAATATTTGCGGCCGAGGAATTCTGGATTCCTCCATTGCCCTCAGTGTAGCCCCATCCCAGGGCTTTAAGGTCTCCGCCGTTTGGAATAGCCACTTGCTTGTGTCTTCATCCTCACAGGTGATCACCACGAACCCTGGTTTGAAGGTGCAGGATAGGAACATGGGTTTTACAACCCCTTCCTTTTCCTGCAAATTTTTTTGCATAAGTTCAGCCTGGGTGGCCTCAAGCTGCTCCGTACTAACCTGCACCTCCGGAAAGTCTTTATGGGTGACTGCGGCTGTATTAGGTTTGGGTGGTAGGGACGTTTTGGCTGCCCCTGTGGCATCTTTAATTTTTTTGACTGTTGCCTCTGGGGTTGAGCCGTCAGATCGGGTCCTTTTGTTGGAACCTTTATCGGACTGCACTTGCTTTATTGGTTATTGACATTATTTCAATATTGAAATTAAAGTCAATATACTTACTGCATAAGGCTGAATGTCTCCGAAAAGTTAGACCTGCAAAATAACGTGATCAATATCGTAATCACTTATGATTTGCAGACGACATGGTGATCATTTCCAGTAGGTATAGGCTAATATTTCAAGAACATGCTCGACGAACTTCACCGTGCATCACTGTAAATTGGATTTGGAATGAATATAAATTTCAGCTGAGTTTAAAAAAAACAAACCTTCCAATATCTCAAGAAGAATAGGCCTCTCTTGGGAAGCTATTGTCAAGCTATGATATATTCCGAAATTCTAAGGTTTCCCCATTAATCCTAATAGGAAAGGATATGAGTTCTGTTTGTTGCCGGGAAAGAGCAATAAAATCTCTATAAGTAATTACAGATGTTTCATTTCCCTGGTTCATAATGTGTGTTGAGATCTTGGGTAATGGGAAAGGAGACAAAGACCAACTATTCTCTGGCGACGTTTCGTATATTACATCTATACTTTTTCAAGCCCTGAAAGGCAACAAACAATAATTTTAAAAAACAATCACATTAGGTTTTAGGCTTATTTTCTTATATAAAAAGCATCACTTTTATCTAGAAATTTTTTATTTATGTAAGACTTACCCAAATATGCAGTCAACTCCATTTGTGAGAGATATCGGGATATGTGCCCGAAAAAATGGCAATCGAGAAAAAATCATACAGAGACGATACAGTAGTAACGGGGGCACCTGAGCCTGGGAACTTTTTCGATACCGTGGGAAAATCTCTAGATCGGCGGCGCCTTTGATCTGAAATTTCTGGGGTTTACCCGGGAAAAACACCAAATTTTTAAGGATTTTCCCGGGATTTGACTGCAGCTCCTTCAAACCGTGGTTATCTTCCATTCGGGGCGTCGTCGTCTCGTCATCGGGCGTCGGCGTCTCGTCATTGGGCGTCGGCGTCTCGTCACCGGGCGTCGTCATCTTCGTCTCATGATCGGGTGTCGTCGTCATCCATCAATCGATTGAAAAAAAGTCTAGTCTAGCCGGGGAATCGAGCCCTCGGACCGTCACAACATAATCCAACACTCTAGGCACTAAACCATTAAGTAGTTGATAAAAATTTTGAAATATGTCTATTGAAACGCTGCGTGCTACATATTTTTTTTCCATTTATTCAGAGTTCCATTGGTCCGTTTCAGTTCATTCCTTTTCAAAAATGTCCAAGAAATGGGGCATAGTTGAAGACTAATAATTGCAATAAAATTCTGATTACAAGATCCTGACATTTTTTAGTCTATCAATTGCTTTCTTGTTTCTCTTCACTGCTGTTTACAGCCTCTAATTTCCTACCATTATTTCTACTGTTTTAGCAGCAGTAAATCACTATGTAGGTGATCTAGAAAAGCAAACATTTCACACACAAAAAACTATCACGACTTAATAAGATTTCGTCCTAATTCAACCGGATTGTAATACCTCTCTGTTGCTACATATTTCAGGTTTTTACTTATAAAAGTTGGTGTGAGTCAACTAGAATGTAATTATTGTGATTCCTGGCTTCTCTCTTCTGTATAACTATTATCAATACCATCATCTATCTGAACATTTTCAAACTGAATTTTCAGCTATAGATATAGATACCAATTTTCTCTGCTTCTTGTTGAATGTCTCCACTTCTACGAGTCTGGGAACGTGCAATAATAAAACTAGGTATATAATATATTTCTTTTAATAATTTTTATTAACTAGAAAATTACAAAACATATTAACGTCCTTTGTTGAGCGTATCATTTTTATTACATATCTGCAGTCCTCTCCGAAATCTCGATTATTTGTTTCCTATAAGAAGAATTACTTATGTAATTGCAAGTACCTACCTTAATTGCCTCATTAGTAATCGATCACTTGAAGGGAACGGACCTACATAATATAAGAAGAATAAAAAAATGGGAATCCGAGGAGCGAAAAGATTGCTTCAAGCGCAAGCGAAACCAGTGGATACGACTGAGTTGCAACAGTTCTCCGAGATACCAGTTGATATATCGCTCGACGGATTATCATTATTATACGAAAGTCTTACGCCAGAAAATCTAAAAGTTACTACTGACCCATCATACATCGATGGTTATGATGAAAACTTGATGACCGAATCAACCTACAAGATGACTTATAATTATGTAAACGAAATTCAATTGCAATGTCCGGTGTATAGAGTGAAAATTTACATCGATGGACCATCTCCTAGCTTGAAATCAAAAAATATGTCAGCTAATAGGAAGTTTGACTTAAATTTGGCCATAGAGCTCATGTGCCAGAAGATAATTCAACGATTGCCGTTCAACGGTGAAAGTAAGGTCATTAAATTACCATTTGGAGAAGCCGAATATGAGTGCTTCTTGCGAAGGGACGTATCGCGACCAAACATCCTTAGATCAAGAGACAGTGACCTTTTCCACATATGTTATGGTTATCAAAAACAAACAGCTAACGATGCTGTTTTCTACTTTAATCCTGATTGGAACTGTATGTATAATATGTCGGAAATAAATTTAAACATGCCAAAGTTAGTGTGTTCAACAATTCTGTTTCTAAAAGGCACTGACCTCACAAAAAAAATCTTGGATGAAGATAAATGCATGAAGGTGTTCCAATTATTTAAAAATGAATTTAAAAATATAAGTAAGGAAAATATAATAGCCATAATGAAGGAAATAGAAGCAGTTAGGCATATTTGTCGAAAGTATCACGACAAAGAGCGGAAAATACAATCAATGATCACCGAAAAAATTGAATCACAAAGTATTGATGGACTATATGAAATTGGAGATGTAGAGAAAATTGTCAAAAGTCTAGAGAAAATAATAAGGACAGCTCAAAGAAAAAAGAAATATTCGGCAAATAATAATGTTTCTAGCGTATTTGCAGTCCCTGAAGATGATTTGAAAATAATAACGTGGAGTGCCAACTACAGCCTAATCGGGGCTCGGCTTATTGGCTATCATACAAGGAACAGTGGCTGAGATTTTGCGAAGAAATTAATGACCGATCTACAATTTTTTTTGATATTGGCTTCTGTTCTTATGCCAATCTCCTTGAAATTTAAAAAAATGATACTTGGATAAGATAACCGACAGCTATGCGTCGGTTTTTTAGTCACCAGAGGAAACATAAACTCAAACATCATCGCCTAAATGTTTGCGTTATTGGAGCGAGAGCGATTTTTTTTTTTAAATTTATTATATAATTTAAAAACTGCAGATATGCAATAAAAATGATACGTTCAACAAAGGACGTTAATATGTTTTATGATTTAAAGCGAATAAAAATAATTAAAAAAAAATACATATAATAGTCTTATTATGGCACGTTTCCAGACTCGTAGAAGTGGAGATTTAACGGGAAGCAGAAGAAGTTGGTAGACCGATCGTAGCTGATTTAATATTGACTTTCAAATTAAATCAAAATAAAACATAAAGAATTTATAAGTCTTCAACTATGCCCTATAATTATTTAGACATTTTTGAAAAAGAATAAATTGAATCGGACTAATGGAACCCGAAATAAATGGAAAAATAGTATACATAAGCAGCCTTTTTACTGACATTATTTCAACATTTTTATCAGTGATCTAGTGCCTAGAGTGTTGGATTTTGGTGCGATGGTCCGAGAGCGCGGCTCTCCAGCCAGACTAGACTTTTTTTTTATCGATCGTTGACGACGACGCCCGATGACGAGACGACGACGCCCCAAATTGACGATAACTACGGTTTGAAGATGACACCATGAGATAAGGAACTGCGGTCAAATTCCGGGAAAACCTCCAAAAATTTGAGGTTGGCACAGGTCAAACACGCGATATTTCAGATCAAAGGCGCCGCCGATCTAGAGATTTTCCCACGGTATCGAAAAAGTTCCCAGGCTCAGGTGCCCCCGTTACTCCAGCCAGACTAGACTTTTTTTTTATCGATCGTTGACGACGACGCCCGATGACGAGACGACGACGCCCCAAATTGACGATAACTACGGTTTGAAGATGACACCATGATATAAGGAACTGCGGTCAAATTCCGGGAAAACCTCCAAAAATTTGAGGTTGGCACAGGTCAAACACGCGATATTTCAGATCAAAGGCGCCGCCGATCTAGAGATTTTCCCACGGTATCGAAAAAGTTCCCAGGCTCAGGTGCCCCCGTTACTACTGAGGAAAAACTTATTTGCTCCTATACAGTGTTATAGCAGAATCTGGGGAACGGACGCCGGTGCTCACGACTCGATATAATGTAGATTAGTCGAAAATCTGACGAGCAATGGAGAGGGGCATGATTGGGTTGAAATATCGCAGGAGGGAATTAGATCCAAAATGCTAGTAGGCGGGCGGCCAGGCGTTCTAAAGACGAAGTTTTATTGATGAAGACAATATTTCGGTATAACTTTATGAAACCTAAAAAATATTGTAAGCTACATTTTCTACGAAAAATTCTTATATGGCGACTTTTAGTTTTGGTCGAGATAAAAGTTATTCAAGAATGATGTCCAAATCTAAAACTTGAATCGAAATAAACTTCCAAACTCTTACAAGATTCCGAAAAGTTAATCTTATTATTATTTAGGATGATATTTAACTCTCTAGCAAGTACTGCAGAGTTCCTAACAAATTCCAGCAACTGTGTTTTCGACGCGTTCAAGAGCAGTCCATGAGCCGTGAAGATATTTTGTATGATATTCAAATCGCTATTTATAATGTTCTGTGCTTCAAGCAAGTCAGTAGTTAGTATCAAAAGAAAAATACAACTGGAAGTCATCAGCATATTGGTGGGAGTTTAAAAAATTTAAATAGTTACAAAAGTCGGCAGTTATGGAAAAAAGTAGAGGCCCTAGAACGCTACCCTGGGGAACTCCTCGACCGACACAGACAGAAGAAGAGGCTAAGCTACCTAAAACTACTCTCCGTTCCCTATTGTACAAGTAACTCTTCATAAAGGTTAAGGCTGAGTGAGACAAACCAAAATACCTCAACTTAGCAAAAAACATTTGATGATCAAGAGTATCAAACGCCTTGCTATATTCTAAGAGGATCAAGCAGCTGCTCTTGCCCCCATCAGTTGGCTCTGATCATCTTCAACTTTGATCAAAGCAGTAGCTGTCCTATGTCGAGGCCTTAACCCAGATTGCGCGTAATCGGGATTATTTTCGATGAATAAAAGTGATTCGCAAGTTGTTCAGATACAATTTTTTCCAAAATTTCTCATAACACCGGTAAAATACTAATAGGACGAAAATTAGCAAAAGTCGAGGGATTGGATATTTTAGCAACCGGAATAATATTAGCTATCTTCCAAGTAGATGGAAAGGTACTTGTTTGTAAACAAGAATTCATAATAAAAGTAATATGTTTCAATAAATAAGGTGAAACCATATATGCTTGGAATTTCCCCATGTTCTCTATTTTTTGTTTTATTTTCAAAATTTGGTTTTGTATGTCTTTTGGTTTCTTATTTTCAAACGAGTTTTCGAAAAACTGGAAATAAAAGCGTTATTTCATTTTACTACACCTTAATATGCAAATGCATATTATATAGGTACATATTATGTACTTATATATTTATATTATTAGAATACAATTTATTTGTTCATACACATATATACAGGGTGTCCCACGAGGTTTTACACAGGATAATGAAAAATGCCATAATATACCATAGGTTACATTTGCGATTTTAAATAAAAAAACTGAAGCAAAAGTGGTAAAATTGGATGACACATGTAGAAGCGACACAAAAAGTTACACAGATCTTCAACATTTCAAATATATTGGATGACGCGTTTCGAAGTTATCATTTGGGTGAAACGTCGCGGGACACATAAAGAAAAATTAATAAAAAATAGTAGATTATACCACGAGTCAATAATGATAGCTATTATTCCCGAGGAATATTTACGAACTGAGCCGTGTTAGCGGCGAAAGAGTAACATTACGAGGGAATAATAGCCATTATTGCGAGTAGTATACTCTACTTTATTTATGACAAATTAATTTATTTGAGATTTTCTTTTAAAAACGTTCGTTGTTTATCCATCTCAATGAAAATACACAAGCACTACGCGTTTGACACTGACACTTTTCAGTTTGTTGACATTGTTCCCATGGTCTTATACTTGTTTTGATTTGAGAAATTTTGTGATTGGTGTGCAAGCGGGAATAATATTTGGCATTATACTGCCTAAATCACAATTATAATGCTCACATTATAGATAAGTCGTAAATAAATACATATATAAAAGATGGGCCACGGGAAAATCCGTGCGGGGGGGGCCCGGATTTGAAGTTACGTCACTGTTTTTTTTTTCTATTAGAAAAAAAATATGCTCATTACTGTTCAATTTTTATAGGTTGAAAAATAAAAAATGAGCTCAAATGAGGTGTGCCTATCATTGGCGTATCCAGGATTTTGGTTTGGGAGGGGCTCTGTTAACAAAAAGTGCTGACCAAAAAAAAAAGCTACGCACAATAGTCCATCGATCATACCTATACTTTCTTTTTTTATAAAGTACTAAAGGACGAAAATAGGTCAACTAGTTTTTTATCAGCCATATTTTGGAATGGTTTACTAGTTTACTAATGAGAAATAAGAACTTCGGCATCCTCGCATTTTTGGGAAAGTGACGTCCCTTTTTGCAGGGCGACATAAATTTGCGCATCGGGCCACTTATTTGCTTTTTTTTTGGTAAGGCGGAGAAATTTTGTTCACGGAGCACCTTCTCTCATGGGCCCTCATTCTTGAAACAGGGGAGCAGCATTTACATGAGAATAGCTTTTCCGTCTGTGTTACTCATGTTATCATGTCATTGAGATAGACAAAGAAATAGTTCTCACGAGAACGCTGGTGCTTGGTTTCAAGGACCGGGTTCGATTCGATTCTCGTCTCAGGGAGTAGAGCTCCCCGAGAGAACAAATTTTTCGTCTTTATCATTCTCTTTTACTTTTCGAATACGTTGTAAAGGACAAAACATGCATTCTATCGGGGAGCTCTACTCCCTGAGACGAGAATCGGGCCCCTGAGGAAGGAAGTATTCGGACATTCAGGAAGATTAAGATGAAGATGAAGCACTGATTCCCTTGCTGCATTAGGCGCCCGCCATGGAAAACCCTTATTATAGAAAGAAATGAATTTCTATTTTTTTTTATACAAAAAATGTACATGTCACATAAAATACGGTGAAGAAAAAAATAGTTTACACTTGCCTTGGGGGGGGGGGGGGGGGGCTGCAGCCCGGCAGCCCCCCCCCTGGATACGCCTATGGTGCCTATTTTGTTGAAAAGTTCTGGATGCATCAACTGATGTAGTTAAAAAACCGACTAGACAAGGGTTTGAAACAATATTTCCAACAGCAGAACTAAGACATAACGCAATATCTAAAAAGATAATTTCAATTAAGAGTGAAATAAATAAAAATCCGATAAACTTCAAATTTCATTCTTCATGTCGTAAACAATTTTGCAACAAGAAAATTATTGACAGAACATGCTTTTAATGTATTTTTTCAAAAAATAGCACATACCATATTTCAACAGAAAGACTGCGTTACTTTAGCAAGTTTAACTAAACAATTCAATAAGACAATTGAGGTCATTGAGGAACTTGCTATTGATTCCGACGTTCCACAAAGTAGTAGTAATATAAGAAAAAAACTTGAAAAACATTTTGGGAACACAATATCTTTTGTCTGTAGTTCTGGAAAACCAGCTATTGTTTTGTCGAAAAAACATGAATATACCATTATGTCAATCTGTAGAGAGTGATGAAGAATCAGAATTCGAAGGATTGGCTGTTGAGGAAAGCAATAATTTCATACTACACAGGTTAGCGGAAATACTACGGAATGCAATATCCAGCCATATTACCATGAACACCAAAAAAAAAAACTATGTTACCCCTCAAAAACTAAATGAAAAAATTTTGATATTAATGTAGCAGCGATATATTCAACAATTTTGAATAACTTTGGGAGAAAAAAAATA